TGATTTTCTTGTTGACCAGGAGTGAGGCTTGTGGGAGTTGAAGGAGAAAGGAAGAACAAACAAAACGGAGGTGTTGCGGAAAAGAATTATTTTCCTGTCTGCTCCGTGTTCAGCTAACAGCTTTAATTATTTTACTTAGGTCTTACGGTTCTTCAATGTTATTGTTAACAAAAATAAAATACAGCTAACTGATTAGCTATAAACATTAGTTGATGTAGGATGAGGTCTTTATAGTAAGGCTAAGATGCATAATTTAAGGTGATTCTTGCTTTGAGGAGTGGATCTTCTTTTTTTTTTTTTTGGTTTTTTGGTTTTTCTCCGGTACCAGGAACCGAACTCACGACCTTGCGCTTGCCAGGCAGGCGCTTTGCCGCTGAGCTAAATCCCCAGCCCCTGAGGAGTGGATCTTCTTAAGTTTTTCTTTGCCCTCAGAAACCAGTAGCAGCTTGAAAATCAAAGTAAAAAAAGAAACTAATTTAAATGTATTGTTCCTGTTAGTAAGCCAGACTTTTGATTTTAAGTCACTTACTTTCAGAAAAAAGAATAAAATTCTTTTTGATAAATATGTATTAAAACATGAATTAAAATATGCTTACTGCAAGCGGAACATGGTGGTACACACCTGTGGTTCCAGTCACTTGGGAGGCTGAGGTGGGAGTATCTCTCGCACATAGGAGTGGAGACTGGCCTGGGTAACTCACACAGGGAGACCTCGCCTCACAAACAAAACAAACCAGAAGACTATAATGTATAACATCATACATGTTATAACATAGCTTTCAAATTGTAAGGCTTAAATGTCACTTATGTACATGATTTTTTAAGTAAAAGTGATATTCTCTTACATAAATGAAAAATTTCAAATATATGCCATTATTCGCAGAAACAATAAAGTGGCTAGACATTATGATCGTTTATGTTTAAAATGTGATGTACTTATCAAGTACTGGTTAATAATATTGAAATGTTAACTTTCAAATAAAGCATTGTGCTCTTTAGACAGCTAGATTTTGATATATCAAGCGGAATACATTCAGGCCTAACATACTGTCTTGCATTATACTAAGGTGTTCTATAAAGCATACGCCAGGTCCTGGGTTTGGCTCCTGGCATGAGGGTGGAGGAGAGTATATGTATAATACTATAATATTTTTCAGTGTCTTAGATGCTAACAATAACTTTAGAATTCTTTCGAAGCTTTATTTTAGGAAGTCTTAATGACAATACATACGATACATAATTAATACATTAATACATACGACTTAATACATATGATTACTAAACAGAACAACAATAAAACATTCTCTGCATGCTAGAGTGTGAGTTCTTTTGATTTCTTGAACAAAAGTACATAAGAAAATAACAAATGTCCCCCCCAAAAAAGAATACATAAAAAACATAACCAGTGTCCATTAACTTGATTATTTCAGTTGCCAAGTATGCTGACTTCTGTTCAGGTAATTTTTTATTGATATTGTGATAGTGTTTGTTCTACTTTTTAAGAGCTGAAATTCAGTATATTTGAAAATAAACCATCCATTCCAATGATTTATGCACTCTTCTTTACTTTCCCTGTAGATTTGCGTTCGCTATTTTCAAGCGTGTAGTAGTGGTCATGTTTTGAAGCCAAAATGCGTGTGTGTGTTGGGTTACCCTGCATTCGAGTACAGCCATCCACACCACCTGCTGAGAACAGCTGCTGGTAAGTATGATCTAAAAACCGGGTATGTGAAATAGTGCTTCTTCTCCTTCTTTAAAAGGTAACTGAAGACTTACTAAAGTTGAAGAAAAAGTCGACTGTATTTCTGGACTAGTTTTCCCCACATCTATCCGATTCCAGTTTCTTATTTCTTCTCCTCCCGCCTCCGGCCTTTCCTCACAGCTCATGTCGTCTTTGTGTCAGGTCTGGGCTGTGTTGGGCCACCTGTGCGTTGTCACCTCTCCCATCTAAGTGCAATATTTAGCATGACTGTGACCTTCTTAGTCAGGGCAGATCATTGACTTAGTGGAAATATTTTGATCTCTTTCCACACACTGTTGTGTTTCTTGGCTGAAGCTCTTACTCTGCCATATTATGATGGTGCGTTGATGCCAGCCTGGCATGCTCCTAAATGGAAAGTTCCCTGCTTTGCTGTCTGGTTACCGTGTACTCTGTAAAAAAAAAAAAGTGAGGGCTCACGAATTAGATTTTTCCTCCCCTGATGTTCTGCAGAGAATCCTGACTGTAAAAAAAACAAAAATCCTAGACTCTTGTTAAATAATCAGGCTCTAAGAAATACAGGTGGCCTTAGTGAGAGGTGGCGGTGAAAAACCGGGCGCCCCAGGCAGGTGCGCTCTCCTTGCCTCTCCTATGTCGTCCATGACGGCTGCGCATTCCCTACGCTTTGTGTGTGCTGGGAGTCACATTTGGGGCTTTGCCTACGCTGAGTACGCACACTACCGTTCAGCTGTAAGCCCTGTAAGCCCTGCCAAGATTTCTGTTTTTTTAAAATTGGTTCTTTCCTGTTGTTCCTTCCCAGAGAAAGTGAAGGCAATTCAAACAGAAACTGCCAAATTTGTGCTCCAGCCCTAAGCACTTGTCATGAACTTGAAATTCCTGGACCTACCACTTCCAGGCTGTGTGGGTTCGGTGGTCTTACCCATTGCTAGTTGTATAACATTTGGCCAGTTACTTAATTTCTGTCAGTGTCATCATCTGGAAAATGGGAGTAATCGTACCGTTTAATTCATTCTGTTATTGTCAAAATTCGTTAATTCCACAAGCATCTGTTGATTATCCACTGTGTGCTAAGGCATGCCCTTAGGTGCTTGGGATATATCAGTAAATAAGATAGACACTTCTATTTTGGTGGATTAAAGAAATTACAATATGTAAAGTATGCATACCAACTTTCTGTAAATACTCACTGTCTTTTAAATGCCCATTTCCTCTGCTTCTCTTCAGTTTCGGTTTTCCATAGGCTCCCACCTTGCCCTCTCTTCTTACACCCCACCTGCACTCATGCCGTCACCAACGTCTGCTTACTCCTTGAACACGTCAAGATCTGTAGCCGTAGCTCAGACATCTCAGCAACTGCCAGCCAGACCTCTCCACCCCAGTGTCCCATGTACAACACAAATTTCCCAGCCTCGGTCTTCCGTCGTTCCCTAACTCCGTGGTTAAGCTAGTCATCCTGACTCCTGTCCCACATCAAATCAGTCCTCAGAACCTATCAGGTGTACGTGTTCTGTTTCGTAGATCTGCATTCGCCTTTCCACACCGCTTTGAAAACTGTAAGCTCTGTACTTCAGCTTCTCGCCCAAAGGAGGCTTCTGCTCTGCAGGCCTCGTTCTCCGCGGCCGTCCCCTCCCAACCCCAGCCGCCACAGGCCTGCAGAGATACTCCTTCTGAAATTACTACACCTGAAGCCTCAGATCTGCTAGTGAGTCCGCGCCAGTGAATTATTGCCGAATAACACTAACAACCACCCTACAACCCAGGGGCTTAAAGCAGCGGTGGAGAATTACTTCTCTGGGTCTGTGGGCTGGCTGGTGGCTCTCAGGCTGGCTGCACTAGGAAGACTGCCTGGTTAGAGGACAGTCTGGACTGGGCGCCACTGGTCCCTGGCAGTCGCTACTGGCCTTTGGCTGGGACAACGTAGTTCTGCTCCATGTGGCCTTTCATTCTCAAGTAGACCAGTGGCCTGGAAGAGAGACGGTAGAAGCTGTGAGGGCCTTTTAGGCCCAGGCTCCTGCGGCATTTTCTTAGCCAAAGCAAGTCACAGGTTAGCACAGATTTAAGAAGTGGTGCAGTAGACTCTACTTGTTGGTGGAAGCAACTGCAAAGAATTCAAGACCATATTATTAATTTATCATATTAGTTTATGACCATATTCATTTGTTACTGGCTTTCAATGGCCTTTAGGAAAAGGCACACAGTCTGTTTATCTCTGGTGTAATTTCATGCCACGTATCCTGTTGTTAGTCCTATAGAGCTGTTTGTCATTCTCTAGGCATTTTTTTAAAAAGTTTAATCCTTTGGTAATCATTCCTTTTTTTTTTTTTTTTTTTTTGGTTTTGGTTTTTCTCCGGTACCGGGAATCAAACTCACGATCTTGCACTTGCCAGGCAGGCGCTATGCTGCTGAGCTAAATGCCCAGCCCCCCTTTGGTAATCATTCTTGAACACAAATCTTTCTCATTGTTTCTTAGGGGCTAAACAGTCATGGGGGAGATTGAGACAGGGTCTTGCTAGTTCAGGCTGGCCTTGAACTCACTTATGTAGCCCAAGTTGGCTTCAAACTCATGGCAGTTCCTCCTGCCTCAGCCTCCTGAGTGCTGAAATTACAAGTGTGTGCCACCACAGCTAGCAGGAAAAATAATCTTAAAAATGGGATTATTTATTGAGTAAAGACGTAGATTTATTTTTAAAGGTCTTTTTTAGAAAGTCAAATTTTTTCAGAAAGGACAGTGGGCAGTAAGAGGACTTAGCATCACAGGGGAAGTAAGAACTAACTAATACCTCCATATCAAAAGTGTATTTTAGGTTTCTTTCCTGTTATCGCCTCATATTTATCAAAGAAAATTTTGTAACCTAGTTCACTTATGATGTATTTTATAAGCAAGTACTGTTAATGGTCTAAAGGTAGAGGAGCATTCCTGAATAGGTTCAGAGCCATTTGTGACCTGGAAAAGTGAGGGTCCCCTGCATGCCTTCTATTGACTAGAAGTCCCTTGTCTTTGGGGAATGATTCCTCATACAGTATCGCTGGTACTGCAGTATTGTAAAAAGGGGGAAGAAACTTGAAAAGGGACAGAGGAGAAAAGTCTTCGGGATAAATTGGCAGAAGACATGTTGAACATACAGGAATTTTTCCAAGTCTGGTAGGTACACAGCTGCCTGATTTTCAGCCATGAGCAGTTACATGAAGTCAAAAGAAATCTAAGAACAGGCCGCTAATGATTATTAGTTTCATAATACAAAGCAGAGAGACTGTCTGGGTTCCTTTTTACATAACATTTTTATTCTACTTTCTGTTTTCTACTGTTGTTTCAAAATCTCACTGATTTGTTAATAGGGTCTTCTGCTGTAACATGAGAGAACATTTTTGCATTTTCTACTGAAAGTTTCTTAAATTGGATTCGAAATTAAGAGAAATGTGGGAGTGCTGATTTCAAAAGTGGAAAAATTAGTACCATTAAATGATAAATTATACTGCTGGAAAAAAAAACATTGTTGTAGAAGTTGGAAAATATAATTTCTATGGCAAGTTAGCAAGACTGTCATGGAATAACATTCAAATTTTTAATGATTATGAGTAGTGGTTTTACTTTTAAAATTATAAAATTGTGTTTTTATCTGTAAGATGGAACAGTTTCTGCCTCTCCTAGAGAACGTTTTCTAATTTTAGATATAAAAAAACTATTGGTAATATATGTTTAATGAGATTGTTTCTCATTTGTCTTTGAAGCTCTACGTGGACAGGTCGTTCAGTTTAAACTCTCAGATATTGGAGAAGGAATTAGAGAAGTAACTGTTAAAGAATGGTAAGTTAACCTGAAAAAAATTTAAGTAGATGTAAAACTAATCTGAGTACAAATAAGTAAGATTGTTTGAATTGAGAAACTACTTTACATGACATAATGTTTTTTGTAAGCAGTAAAGTATAATTACTTTGTGTTGATAGTAGGCCAGTGACAGAATTTATATGAAAGCATTTTATTTGATGTGATATATTAATGATTACTTCTTTTTTAAAGAAATTCCTTTTGCTGATTATCCTTTACTCTAGCTGAAAAAGAGAAATTGACTTCTAAAATATAATAAATTGATATAAGACCGCATACATATGTACGTATGCACACGTATTTTTGAGGGGATGGTGTTGGAGATCAAACCTTGGGGCTTGCACATGCTAAGCATTTACCATGTAGCTACACCCCCAGTCCACCATGTGTTTATTTTTTTGTTTTGTTTTGTTTTTGGTCAGGAATCAAACTCAGGACCTTGCGCTTGCCAGGCAGGCGCTTATGCCACTGAGCTATGTCTCCAGCCCTCCAGCATGTGTTTAGAAATATTTAACGTATGACCTTTTAATTTCCTTCCAGACCATTTTAGAAATCATCCTATAATCTAAGCTCTCTTCACCATACTGAAAATGACTTCAATTAGAATATATATTTGACTCAAAATCGCATGGCACTTTGCCTATATATTCAGGTAATACTTTGCCTAAAGGAAATAAATGAAAAAATTTTTTGAAAACATTTAAAAAATTTTATGCACATTTATGGCTGAAACAAAAGTCAGAAAACTTCTACTTCCTTAGCCACCTTGTATTCTTTTTCTTTTTTTACCTTCTAGACGAAGAAAAAACACCTCTGGATAAGCCTTAGAGGTTTTTAGAAATATTGGTTGAAATGAATAAATAGATTTTTTCCCACCATACTTTTATACTGTTAAAGGTCTGTTCAACCAACCGAATTTTCTTTTTCTTTTCCTGTATTTCTTATCATTATTGCTTTGTAAGTTAAAGGAGAACTGTAATAACATAAACATCCCTTACAGTTACATTTTTTAGTGGCATTATGGAATTGGGAGATGGAAAATAGACTTCAAAGCAGAAGAGACCGGCCTTAAAGCATCCTGGCGGCTGAGCTATGACTCGCGTTTCTTGTGCACAGCCTTCTGAAGCGCACTTACAGTGATGAAGGCACTCACATGCAAGGACAGGCTAAAATAACTCCAGAAAGACCGAGAGGACTTAGATTTAAAATTCATGAAGTTGGGGGCTGGGGATTTGGCTCAGTGGCACAGCGCCTGCCGGGCAAGCGCAATGTCGTGAGTTCAATTCCTGATACCGGAAAAAAACCAAAAAAAAAAACAAAACATAAGAAAATTTATGAAATTGTAAAGGCTGATATTAAAGATGTCACGTTTTTTCTTTACTTATTTCTAGAAAGAATGCATATTTTTTAAAGTTTGGAAAAGCCTAATACAAGTTTAGTATCTCTTACCTGAAATAGTTGAAACAAAACATATTTCAAATTTTGGGGTTTTATTTTTTTTTTTTTTTTAGAATTTTTGCATAGACTTCATAGCCAAGCATCCAAAATCTAAAATTTTCCAAAATCCAAAACCTTTTAAAGCATTATGTTAATGCTGAAAAAGTTTGAGATTTAGATTTTTATTTATTGTTTGTTTGTTTATTTTCTTTGGTTTTTTTCCAGTACCAGGAATCGAACTCACGACCTTGTGCTTGCCAGGCAGGTGCTGTGCTCCTGAGCTAAATCCCCAGCCCCAAATTTTCTATTCTTTTTTTTTTTTCGGTGCCAAGAATCAAACTCATGACTTCAGGCTTGCCAAGCAAGTGCTTATGCCACTGAGCTACATCCCCCGGTCCCTAGACTTTTAAATTACGGATGTTCAACCTGCAATATAAGATCATGAAAAGAAGTATCTCTTTTTAAAAAGCATTTTATACATTTTTTCCTAAGAAAGAGATCCAGCAGAAAACATTTCTTTTTTGTTGGTTTTGTTGTTCAAGACAGGATCTCACTATGTAGTTCAGGCTGGCCTTGAACTCACAGTAATCCTCCTGCCTCAGCCTCCTGAATGCTGGGATGACAGGTGTGCACCACCATGCCAAGGCTAAAGTTTTAGTGTTTCTTAAAGATACATTGAAGAGACTCTGGATGTCACTGTCATCTCTGTAGCATGTTCATGATCTGGAATAAACTTGGGGCTGGACAAATAGTGATGTAATCTGGTATAGCATTTACCCTGTTGGGTGATGGTAATCAGGATTGTTCCCTTGACAGTGTTTCATGTGTTTCTTTTAGGTATGTAAAAGAAGGAGATACAGTGTCTCAGTTTGATAGCATCTGTGAAGTGCAGAGTGATAAAGCTTCCGTCACTATCACTAGTCGCTATGACGGAGTCATTAAAAAACTCTATTATAATCTAGATGACATCGCCTATGTGGGGAAGCCATTGGTGGACATAGAGACGGAAGCTTTAAAAGGTACTGTAAGTGTGTTCCTCCATTTTACCAAAATGATTGCTGCTGTCTTTTGTCACTGGGTCCTAACAAAAAGTGATCTTTTAACAAGTCACAAGATTAGACGTTGGGTTTAGAAGACAAAATTAGGAAAACAGAAGATTCCTGTGATGCATGATTTTCTTTTCTTTTTCTTTTTTGAGACAAGATCTCGCTATGAAATTCAGATTGGCCTTGAACTTACTATGTAACCCAGGCTGGTGTCAAACTCATAGCGATCCTCCTGCCTCAGCCTTCCAAGTGCTAGGATTACAGGTGTGCACCACTACACCCCTCCACATGATTGCTTTTGATCAGTACAGTTAACAGCATGTAGAGTAAGACTCCATTTATGAGGGGTGCTGCCATCTAGAAACCTTAGTGTGCGAAGAAACAACAAGCACACAGGAGTTAGAGACTCAGGTCCTGAGCACTGGTCTCTAAGAACAAATGGAGCATGAGGAGATCAGTAGGATCACTCTGTCTGACACTTGTACTAGTCATCTTTTCATTGCTATAACAAAACGCCTGATGCAGGCTACTTACAAAGAAAAGGAGGTTTGCTTAGCTCACAGTTCTGTAGGTTCAAAGTTGAGGATCAGGCAGCCCATTGGTTTGGTGTGTGGTGAGGGTGGCAGATGATGGCACACTGTAGCAGGAGTGTGTGTAGGAACAAGCCGGCAGATCGTGAACCAGAAGAGAGAGAATTCCAGGGTAGCAGGAGAACCGCCTTCTGAGAGCGCACCCCCACCCACCCAGGGCCCAAGGACCAGCCCCCACTGGCGCTTCTCAGATTGCAGCCATTCCTCTAATCACAGCGAACCCTTCGAGAACACGCACATCACACCAAACCGTGGCAGCTGCTGGTGTCCGTCTGTCTCTGTCTGTCTATCTATCTATCATCTATCTATCATCTATCTATCATCTATCTATCTATCTGTCTATCTGAAAAATAATGGGTAATAGTTACAAAAGCCAAACTTCTTCAAGAAAAATAGAAGCTAAAAGAAGGAAAATCAGTGGAAAATCAGTGAATGTGAAGCAGCCAGCATTCAGGAAAAGCAGCAGCCGTGGACCTTACACGTTGTGGATGTCACGTGGAAAGGAATTCCTCAGGGGAGGTTGCAGAGGAAAGGTGAAATCGTGAGCAGTCCCGTTGGGGGCGGAGAGCTGGCTGTCTAGCTCTGAAGTTCGTCAGGGTCGTGTGCTCTAGGAGCAGCTCCAATGCCAGGAGCTGGAAGGGGAGCAAGTTCTGTGGTGGACTCCTATGCTAACACCTGTAGCTCATGAAGTCGTTCACATTACCATTTCGTTTTATCTTTCCCTGTGAGGAATTCTAGCCTAACAGATAAAGAAATAAACTCAACTAGAAAGTGTGGGCTATTTGCTCAGTGGTCCGCAGCACAGCCAAATTAATTAGGTGCTCAGTTATTTTTTTGCAGTGCTAGAGATTGAACCCAGAGCTTCATGTATGTTAGGCAAGCGCTCTGCCCCTGAGAGACACCCCAGGCCCAAGAGGGCCAAACTTAGGATTTAGATGTCCTGAGTCACACAGTGGAATATTTTTCACTATAATGTTGCCTTTAAAAATTAGGAGACAGCTTACTGAAAGTTTTCGTTATTTAATTTTTATTACTATTAAAGCAGGACATGTGTAATATAGAGAGTTATAGAATACATAAGAAACAAAAACCAGAAAGCAAAAATATATATTCTTCTACCCAGAAGTAACTACTACTTAACAAATAAGTCTAGCATTTTCTAGGACATATATATATATATGAACCAAAATAATAGGTTGTATGTGCTGTAATCCATGTTTGCTTAGTTAATGATCTGTGTGTTTTCATAGCAGTATACATTTTTATTCTGTGTAATCCCAGACTGTGTTTTGTTTCCCCAGTTGTCCCCAAATGTCCTTGAAATTTCAGGGTTTTTTTCACCTTAGGGTCCAGTGTGTGACTATATATTGCACCTGGTTGCTACATTGCTTAAGTTTCTTTTACCCTAGCTCATTCTCTTCTATGTTATTTTTTTAAAATTAGAGCATAAGAACTTTATTTATTAATAAACATGTCTTAATTGAGCATTTCAGAGGTTGGGGATATAGCTCGGCAGCGTAGTGCCTGCCTGGCAAGTGCGAGGTCCTGAGTTTGATTCCCGGTACTACCCCCAAAATACATTTTAGTGGTGAGCATTTTGGTTCTTTGCATTGAAAAACACAGCTGACAGTCCTCTGATCTTTACATTCCCTGTAAATTGGAAAGGGGTTTAAAACTGGATTTGAGTGAAACATTATTTCTGGAACGCATTCTGCTGTTGTGCAGTTCTTTCTGCCTCCCCCCAGACGCATATACGACTGAGCACAGCCTGCTGCGACACTGAGTTTAGATACCCACGCAAGCGAGGGGGCCCTCCACCACCCAGAGGTTGTCTGTGTGGTGTTACTTTGTCGTGTATGCATAGTTTATAATACCATTTTTCAAAATCCTTCCTAAATCAACAATTGTAGAACGTGAATTTTTGGGTTCTATCTTTCCTTTAACATTATTAACTGGAATTACCCTATAAAACAGAGCCTCATCAATAATTGGGGTTGGAGTTACTCTGAGGTATACTTTCTACAGGAGAGACAGTAAATACTTGTCTTTTCCTTTACCAATTTTCAAAGTAAGCAGCTGAACTAGAGACCGTACTCATAAGTGAAATAAATTGGACCCACTTGTGTAAACATCACATTCACTAGTGTAGGAACCTGAAAGAATAAGTAAAACTCAAATGTACAATAGCTGACAGGAAAGGGAAAGAAACTGCTCAAAGGAAGGAATGACTGGGATGAGGGAAAGAAGAAAAAAGAAAGATGGAAGGCAAAATATGTATGTATATATGAATAGCTGTGATAACTGTATTGCTGATGTCTGACCTTTTATTGAAAGGAACAGTTATTGCTTAAAATTTTTTATGTTCTGACCAATTTTGCATGCTTCTGTCTGGTAATCTGAGCAACTGATTTGAAGGTAACAACCTGCAATGAAATTGCAGTGGTGAATTCCTACCATCTTGTCTGGTGAAACTCTATTATCTGTAATGTTTTATTTAATAATTATTTTCTTATTCTCTTTAATGGATTGAATAATCTTCCATTCTGACATCTGGTAGTCAGAGCAGTGTAGCTGAAGATAACAATATGTAAGACAACAACCGCTGTTAATTTGTTACTTTGCCTTGAAACCCTGTGTCACTTTAAATGTTCCTGCTTTGGTTTGTTTGTGTTTGTGATGCTGGTATGCTGCTATTGTTCTTTTTTGTTTTTTTCTCATATATTACTCTCTTTAAAGTAAAATTTAAAAGATAAGTAAATAGAAAGGAAAAAAACTAACGAATTCAAATTGTAGTGATGATCCCCTCCCCTCCGTTTCTGTTCTAACTGATGACCTCTGTTTAATCTGTTCCGGTCATTAAGCTTTTTGATGCCCAAATTGTTTTAGTGGTGATTCCTTCACTCTTGCTCCCGTGTTCTTTGACATGGCCCCTGCTGACTTGTAGAAGCTTGCTTGCTTTGGATCCAAGTAGTTTCAGGACTTGCCTTCTATTTTTCCTCTGCCAGTGTTGGAACCCTCCAGTTCTTCAGGCATTCTCCCTTAATGTGCAGTGTCTACACAACCATAGCGTGGGTATGAGGGTACTTCCTACTATCTTGATTCTGCATTAATATTTTTATTCCTTCTTCCTCTTCTTGCCCCTTCTCCCTCTTTTTTTCCCTCTCCTCCTCCTCTTCCTCCTCCTCCTCCTTCTTCTTCTTTCTTTCTCTCTCCCCCCATACTGGGGGTTAAACCCAGGGCCTTGCACTGACCTACCTCCCTAGCCCTTTTTATTTTGAGACACGAACTCAGTAATTTGTCCAGGCTGGCCTCAAACTTGTGGGCTCAGGCGATGCTGCCTCCCACACAGCCTCCCAGGTAGGCTGGGTTACACTTGCACCCGCCTGCAGTCCAGCAGAAGTAGAGACACTGACAGTCATATTGGACGTTAGAACCTGTCTTTGAATGCTAATGATATTCTATGGGCCTATCTTTTATAACATGATCATAGTCTGTTTTTCAAGGCTGAAATGTTAGGATTATTCTGAAGATGGAAACTGTATTTGTGACCCTACCTATGAGTACATTGACGGTGGAGCGACCTCTGCTTGAAGAGAGTGTGCCGGGCTCACTTATGCCAACTGTGTGGTAGTTAGAAGGCATGTGCAGTTGCGCTTCCATATCTGCCAGGTCCGCAGCCTCAGATTCAGCCAAAGATGGAGAAAACCCTGCGGGGTTGGGGATTACATGTGGACTGGACATGTACAGATTTTCTTCTTGATGGCATTTTTTAAACAGTGTGGTATAGTAACTACACAACAGCATTTACTTTGTATTAGGTATTACAAGTAATCTAGAAATGATGAAAGTTTATGGGAGGATGTATGTAGATTATATGCAAATATTATGCCGTTTTCCACAAGGGACTTGAATATCCTCATGTTTTGGTGGCTTTCAGAGGTCCGGAATCCATCCCCCGTAAGTGCCAGGGGGCAACTATAGATTCAAGGAAGAGGAAATAGAATCTGATTGAGAGCCTGACTACCTTTTTTCCGGAGAAAGTGTGTAGTTTTCATGCTGGGGCTATGTGGCAGCTGTTTTCGGTAGTCAGGGCCCAAAGCTGTGTGCAGGATTAAATTGCTGAGGCACTACCACCAGGTAAGAGCAGAGTTGCTCTAGCTAAGTGAGGGGTCTTACTGCCGTTAGTAAATACCAGGGCAGAGAGGAAGGGACGTTGGTGCTAGCAGAATACCGCATAAAACTAGTGTCATTCTACTTTACATTGCATTTATCCTTTCACATCAGCTCTGCCCTCTGGAGTGTCTTCTCTATACTGTGTGCAGAATATTTCACTTACTCATACAGTGTACGATTTGCATTTGACATAATGAACATGAAGATCAGAAGTTAAATAACCCGCTTTCTTTTTAGACAGTCTTGCTTTGTAGTCAGGCTGGCCTTGAACTCACAGTGATCCTCTCCTTCCTGTCTTCTGAGTGCTGAGATTATGGGCGTGCACCACCCATCCCCGGGTATTATTTTAATAATTTGAAGTGAGAAAATGCAATGAAATCTCATTACTTTTAATGTCATTAATTCTCCATTTATGATCATTTTGACAGGCACCAAACTAAAGCTTATATTTGTGCTATGAAGAAAGAACTTCCAAACACACATGTATGCTGTAGTATTTCAAAACATTGTCCCCCCAGTGTCCCCCAGGTAATTGAATTAATTGGACTACTTAATATAGTTCTTAGAAAGGATTTTTGAAATGCCAAGGTGTACTGCATTTCCACAGTTTTCATGTTTTTACAAATTGAGTTATTCTTGCTAAGTTAATCTCAAATAACGTATCTTTATTGTACATTTGCATTAAGTCAGGATTTTTTTCTGCTAAATTTATATGAGGCTTCATGACAAAAACTGCTTACTTGTTAAAGTTCTTTTGTTCCTTCTTAAAATTTTAGTAAACTTTCTAAAATGTACTCTGATTCATCAACTGAGGATCACACATGAAAGATTAAATCCCATGTACTAGAGTGTACTGCTGCAACCATTACAACCACAGCGACTGAGATGCATGATGAAATTTAAGTCTGGTTTCAACTGTAAGCCCCTAGCGTCTGTTTGGACATTGGTGACCATCTTGCGTATTTATAACACTTTTGTGATCACCAAAGGGGAAACTATGTGTAAAAACACATTAGAAGTTATTTGAAGTGCTGTGCAGTAAGGTGATATTTTAAGAGAGCTTTCTTCCAACAACTTCATATAACACCACAGATAATTACTGAATGACTTCTCACAAGTAAGTTACTCTACAAGGCATTCCTCTGTAAGTGATAGAGCCAAATGTTTTCCAAAAAGGCAAGCAGCAGTAAAGTGCTTAATCTTTTTGAAAGGTGTATACTGATTTTGCTGCATGTTATATTTTAGTATAGATACATCTCTCTTATTTCAGTAAATATGCAGTATCCAAGCTGGCGTCGGGGTCCCTTGATTTTCCTTTGGATTTTAGTTCCTAATGCTAATCTTTCTTACTGGTATCTGCAGTAGTTTTGCAAGAGATGGCGAATATACAGGGACTTTGAAAGGTGAGGAAAATGATCCCTTAAATAATAGGGGTTCTGTTCTATTTTGACTGGACAGAAAATTTTCTAGGGCCATGAACTAATGGAAACAGTTAACTAATGGAAACAACACAGTCTGAGTCAGCTCTAGGATTGAATTTCAGCTCTTTAACTGATTATGTATGTGACCTTTGGCCAGTCTCTCTCTATCTCTCAAGCCTCTTTTTTTTTAGTCTATAAAATGGGACTAATAATGTCTATCTTACACAATTGTAACGAAGAGTAATTAAGATATTGTGTAAGTAGTGCAAGAATTGGTGCCCAATAAGATTTCTTTGGATTTTTTTTTTCCCTTTGTCACCCTTTGGAAAATTTTGAGAGTTTCACTGGGCCAGTCTGTAGACTAGTGGGGAAGAATAAATAGACTATCATTTTACAGCTGCAGCAGTAGAAAATTTTTATTAGCTTAAAATTGAATGTCACCAGGCATGGTGGCACGTGACCTGTGATCCCACCTAGCATGCTGGGAGACCATGGCCAGAGCATCACAAGTTTGACCCCCGCCTGGACAACTTACCTATGAACAGCAAGACCTTGTCTCAAAATTGAAAATGAAAAAGGCTTAGAATATAGCTTGGTGTGAAGGCCCTGGGTTCAATCCCTAATACCTCCAAATAATAATATTTGTCAACATAGACCAGGTTGTGTCCTGAATTTTAGAAGTTAAGTGTCTTAGTTACTTTTCTCTCATTGCTGAGACAAAATATTCAATGCCCAAAGTTAAGGAAGGGAAGGTTTATTTAGCTCACAGTTTGACGAGGTCTCAGTCCATAATCAGCTGGCTCCAAGCCGGGGTGACACGGCAGAGGGCAACAGTTCAAGGCAGCAGAAAACAGCAAAAGCAACAAGAGTAAAAAGGGAAGAGCAAACCTTTTCCTGCCGTATTTTGTGTGCAGGCCACCCACCCTAGGGTGGGTATAGCACTCACACCCCCAGTCCCAGCACTAGACAATGAATCAGTCACAAACTCTAGATTCAGTCACCGTCAAAAAGCCCACCCCCTGATACTGCATGAAGCTTTGGGTACACATCCAGACACAAAACATAACACGAAGTTTTTAATTTATCAATTTATACAGAGATTCTGCTGTATGTCATTGACTTTCTAGCAACACACTTTGACATTTAAATACTTTCAAAAATATTTTTTCTTCCTAAAGTACATATTATTAGCTTGATACTTTTTCTTGTATCAGGACTGAAGAGCTAGAGAATAGACCAACCAAATTAGTATTGGCCATACCACACTCCTTAAGCTATATTCAAAGCATAACAAGAGACCTGGATGTGGTGGCGCACACCTGTCATCCCAGCATCCAGGAGGCTGAGGCAGGAGGATCGCTGCAATTTGGAGGCCAGTCTGGTTCACATAGTGAGTTCAAGGCCAACCCGAACTACATAGTGAGATGCTGTGTGAAAAACAAAGTAAAAATGTATGGAAGAAACTCTCAAATTAACTTGCAGCTTTCGTATGTTTCTAAGAGATGAGAGATACACCCTAGTACAGATACTTAAACAATACCAGGTGTTGCACATACCCCCACTACACACCAACCATTGGAAAAGCTGTGTGTCCACATTCTAAAGTAGCCAAACATATTTTGACTACAAACTTTAAATTTTAGATTTTATTTTAGATCTAGGCCACTAAGCTTTCTAAAAATATATGTTTCAACTAAAGTCAAGTTTTACCTTATTACCAGATTCAGAAGAAGATGTGGTTGAAACTCCTGCAGTATCCCACGATGAACACACGCACCAAGAGATAAAGGGCCAAAAAACACTAGCAACTCCTGCAGTCCGTCGCCTAGCAATGGAAAACAATGTAAGTTTGCTTGATATTTAAACCTGAGATTGCATAGAAAGTACTGGTTAGTATCTCTGAAAAAAATAAGATGGCCTATGATGAGATGGCCTATGCTGGCATTAACAAAAATATGAAAAATACCTGTTCATGAAAAGTGATAGTGGCATAAAAGTACTTGGGAGAAGTGAGAAGACATCATGAATTTGTCATTAGCTTAACATTAATTGAGCCTGTTATTTCATTGTTTAGGACCAACTAATAGAGCTACTATTTACTGAGCTCTAGTAAATACCAGTGTCACAGGTCAGGTGACCTGGAAACACAGTGAGGCAGGAATTTAGCCCCTGGTGACTGATTTGTTGCAGTGAAGCCCTATTCAGGAAATCAGAGAAGCAGGTGGGAAATGAAAGAGAAGGGAACCGGGCCAGGCATGAATGTGGTGTCAGAGGTCTGCTCTGATCCAAGGGGAAGACCATGAGGCTGCACTGCCTTGAGGCAAGGAGGCCAACCACTTGGATTACCTTTGTCACTCAGTGTTAGCTTCCTGTTACTGTAACAAAAAACCTGAGGTAACCAGTTTATAAAGGGGAAATGTTTATTCTGGGTCACAGTTTCAGAGGTTTTAGTCCATGCACCATTAACCATTTGGACCTGTGACAGCACATTATAGTAGTATATAGCAGAGGAAGCTTATTTACCCCATGGTCAGGCACTAAAACAAAAAGAGAAAGAGGGGCTGGGGATTTAGCTCAGCGGCACAGTCCCTGCCTGGCAAGCGCAAGGTCGTGAGTTCGATTCCCGGTACCGGAAAAAAGCCAAAAAAAAAACAAAAGAAAGAGAAAGAGACCAGTATTCCACCACTACCTTTGAAGGCACATTTGTAGTAACCGCAGGCTAAAGTCCTACTTCCTAAAGTAGGAAATTTCACGAACTCCCAGTGGTGCCAAACTGGGTTCTAGGCTTTTAACGCACAGGGCGTTCCAGATTCAAACCATAGCACAATTGTTAATTGAACAGAGGGTAGAATGCCAAGCAAGATAGCTCTTGACACTGTGGTGTTTAAATATTATTTCATTTAACCCAGTGAGATACAGAGCTATTCTAAGATTTGCAGAGGTAAAGTAATGCGTCTGAGGTTGCACAGCTAGTACAGCAGTGAAGCCAGAATGTGAGTCGAGCCAGGCATGGTGGCACATGCCTGTTATCCCAGCACTTGGGAGGCTGAGGCAGGAGGATGAGTCCAAGGCCAGGCTGAACTATATAGCGAAACCCCAACTCAAAAAACATAAACAGAAACCCTAAAAAACCAAAAAAAAACTTAACAGTGAGTCTATGTCACTTCAAAAAAATTTTTCTCAGTCGTTATATATTTCCTCGAGGTCAGGCTGGGCTATATAGTGAGGTCCAGGCCAGCCTACGATATATAGCAAGACTCTGCATCAAAAAAAGAAGTGATTACATTTGGTTTTTAGACTGAAATACAGCTGTATTCTTAAGTAATTGTATTTTTAGTATAAACTGTGTTACTTTTTAGATTAAGCTGAGTGAAGTTGTTGGCTCAGGAAAAAATGGCAGAATACTTAAAGAAGATATTCTCAACTATTTGGAAAAGCAGACAGGAGCCATATTACCTCCTTCTCCAAAAGCTGAAATTACACCACTTCCACCGAAGCCAAAAGACAGGACCGTTCCCATACCGATATCAAAGCCTCCCGTGTTCATAGGCAAAGACAAAACAGAACCTGTGACAGGTAACAAATAACAACAGCAGTATGACGCAGTAGTACATGTATTTTAGGGGCAGCTACTTTAATGCATATTTATAATACGTCTTCAAATCTCACTGAAAGGAATGTTCAGATTCAGCGCATATTTTTTATGGTGAAATAGTAGTTTTCCAGGAAACACTTCACTTTGTATGAACTGTTAAATTCTGAATTTGTCTTTTTTTTTTTTCTTTTGAGACAGGGTCTCGCTATGCAGTTCAGGCTGGCTTTGAGCTCACTTTGTAGCCCAGGCTGGCCTCGAACTCACAACGATCCTCCTGCCTCAGCTTCCCAAGTGCTGGGGTTACGGGCATGTGCCACCATGCCCAGCTAAATTCTGTATTTTAATACATTAACAGACTTATAAATTATGGTCGGATGTTTTCCAGGCTTTCAAAAAGCAATGGTCAAGACCATGTCTGAGGCTCTGAAGATACCTCACTTCGGGTATTGTGATGAGGTTGATCTTACTGAACTAATTAAGCTACGAGAAGAATTAAAACCCATTGCTTTGGCTCGTGGAATTAAACTCTCCTTCATGCCTTTTTTCATAAAGGTGAGATTTCATTCATTTCACAAGGCTTGAGTAGGACATTTACATCTTTTTCTACAAAGATGCAATGTATTAACTAGATTTGAATAAAAATATTACTTTTTACCACATCAGATAGTTAGAAAAATATGCAAACCCACTACTTCTTTGTTTCTTTGGGATTTGTAAAATTGAAATCTCTGTGCCATATTTTTATCTGCTTACCTCCTTGAATTAGATGGGGACTGTCCTGACAGGTAAGTGAAACCTTTTCATTCTGAAAGGATCACCAAAAAATCCTGGTTTGGTCTAAAATAAGGTTTGGTACTGAATTTGCGTATCACAAACATCTGTTTATTTTCATTCATTTATCAAGTTTATACAGAGGCCTTGAAGCCAGTATAAAATAGAATTAGACCATCAGCAGACCTTAAGCAACTTGCAGTGTAGCCCACATTAATGGCGTTGCATAGCAGCTACCGTGTGCTGGGGCCTGTAGTAAGCGTACTACATACGGTATCTCCTAATTCTCAGAGTAACCCTGGCGTGTACGTAGTACTGTCCGTACGCTGTTCTTAGGGAAGTTCGGGCTCAAAGAGGGTGGGAAGCTCGGGCTCAAAGAGGGTGGGAAGCTTGTCAGGAACACATGGCAAGTGGAAAAGCAAGCTTCTGGTTCTGGTCTGTTTTCCTCAGAAGTGCAGACGGAGGTCTTTAACTCCGGGTGATGCTGCCGAAGCCCTTTCTTGGTTCTGCGCTCAGGCTGGTCTTCCGTAAATCAAATTGTTGTTTTACTCTTTGATTCCTTTCAGCAGTCTGCTCTCGTTGCCTTTCGGGGGCTTCCAGACGCCTCAGGGTGACGTGCAAATAGTGTGAGTCTCTGCCGCCTTCCGCTCTGTTTCAATCACATTAAACTACAGAGGTGCTGGAGCGCACGCTTCGGCCTGGAATGCCCCTCGTGTCTCGATCCCCCGTCTGCACATCCTGAACACCGCGTCGTGCTCAGGTGTGCATGCCGGAGTTCCTCTATCACTGTTTGAGTCAGTACTCTCTTGGCCCCTGTTATCACCAGTGTTTACTATCTTGTCCCTTCGCTGGATTCTGAGCTGTGTGAAAAGGAACCGCTGTCCTTTAGCAGCCACTCTGACCCTCGCGTGCTCTGAGCACAGCGGTGTAGCGTCTCGGGACGGAAGGACGCGTCTCCCCCGTTGTAGGTGAACGGGAAAGCGGCTGAGGGTTTCGCAGGGGAAGCAGAGGGCAGTGAGCGGGGATGCGCGGGGGATGGAGGCAGTGCTGCGTCCACAGGAGAGCGGGAAAGAGCCGCTTAGAAGCCCAGTAAGTGGTTTCAGTGTGATGATTTAAACAACAGCTGCAAAGAATTAAGTACACAGCAGCCGCGCCGAGCTGCTGACCTCGGCCGAGCCCCTGCCTCGCAGTCAGCGCGCAGGCGGCGGCGGCTTTCTACCGGGAAGACCTGGGCGGGTGGACCCCGCGGCTCTCTCGCCTCGGTGGGGTGCCGTGGTGCTCACAGAGAGGGGTGAAGAGACGGAAGGGAATGCTCAGCGAGCAGGGGCAAGCCTGATGGGGCCGAGCCTGGGGAAAGACGGGTGCCATGTCACGGACACTGAAGCCGGACCCTGTCGCTGCGAGCCCTTCTCCCGCAAAGTCTGTGCCCGTGTCCCTGGCCAGAAGGCGGCCCGCGACTGAGCTCAGCGCTTGCGGGAGCGCTGCTAAGGGATGTGGATGCAGGGGTGTGTGTGTGTGTGTGTGTGTGTGTGTGTGTGTGTGTGTGTGTGTGAGAGACATGTGGATGCAGGTGTGTGTGTGTGATGTGAATGCAGGTGTGTGATGAATGCAGGTGTGTGTGTGATGTGAATGCAGGTGTGTGTGATGTGGATGCAGGTGTGTGTGATGCAGGTGTGTGTGTGATGTGAATGCAGGTGTGTGTGTGAGATGTGAATGCAGGTGTGTGTGATGAATGCAGGTGTGTGTGTGTGTGTGTGATGTGAATGCAGGTGTGTGTGATGTGGATGCAGGTGTGTGTGATGATGCAGGTGTGTGTGTGATGTGGATGCAGGGGTGTGTGTGTGATATGAATACAGGTATGTGTGTATAAGATGTGGATGCAGGTGTGTGTGTGTGTGTGTATAAGAACGGGGCTGTTGACTCAGCCTCCCAGACCCAGGGAGAAGAGAGAACTCTCAGAGCCAAGTAGGTAGCAGTCAGACGCTTACAAAGGCTGCATAGGATAAGGTTAAGCAGCAGGCTGTTGGGGTGGAAATTACAGGTCACAGTGCCCTGTGCTAGAACTGATCAAAGGAGACGTTGGAAGCTTGGTTGCCCGAGGGTGGAGAGTGAGTAGAAGCGGAGGAAAAAGAGACACTAAGCACACGCGGTGGAAGGCAGGTGGAGCGGTGGGCATGACCGAGCGCAGTGGTTGGCTGTTTGCTGACCGAGGAGGTTTCCCCGCCCGCACTTCCTCACGGAGAGGCTGAGGCTATCCTGGGCTGCATAGTGAGTTCGAGGCCAGCCTGGAACCACACAGCGAGAGGGTCTCAATTCTTCTTGAAGAGCAAGAGCGCCTCACTATTTTGGGTCAGGTTCCCCTCACTGAGCTTGGGCAAATCTGTTCACATATTGAATGTCCTCTTGCCGTTTTTCTTCACTGTTGCAATTTGCATGAAATACCTGTAGTTTGAAAATAAAATTTAGCGTACTTTGTTTCAAAATGACGTGTAAGTTTGAGAACATTTGAAGGTACAGTACTACCAAAGCATTTGGTTTTGTGGATTTGAATTCAGTCTTCCACTTCAGTTATCTCTTTGTGTCTGGATAATTTTAATTCTGCACGATATAATGGACCTTTATTATCCATGATGACTTCCAATTTTATTTTATCTGTTTTTCTGTTACCTCCCTCTATACCAGCTAGCCATATTGCCTACAGGCAGAAACTGATACAGAATATTATGATGTCATGTTTCCTTCTTGATTTCTTTTAAAAAAAACCCTTAATGTTATATTAATTTTCAAACAAAGAGTGCCATATTATATCATCTTTAAACATGTTTTCAAGAGTACAGATTTGATTTAGAAAAAAAGGGAAATATTACAGAATAGTACACAGGAATATAGACATGTAGCTTATATTTCCTTTTATAAAATTTGGATTATACTCAAAGCACTGTGTTTATGTCTAACTCTTTAGATTAACCTTAGTTATGGCTTTTTACGTAAAGAACATTAAAATTACAGTTATCAATTCAAATGCTTGCTGAAACTTGCAAGTCGTAAGGAGTCAGGAATTTATAGCAAATGTTTTTGTTATATTTGTCTTTCACAGAGCTGCTTCCTTTACCTATCCTAACTAAACCAATGACTATGAAAACCCTGTGTTTAAATTCTTTCCCCTAACTGTAATTCAAAGATTTGTTTTTTTCTTCTGACAAGCCCAGTAACCCACAGACAAAAATAATACGACACAACAGGAGAAAAGACAAGGCAGTTGAGAGAGGAAATTTCTTTTTAAGAACACTACTAAACCTTTTCATTTGGCCATCTCTTTAAATTTAATGTGAAGCGTGGACACCCAATGCAGTGTATGCTCTTTGAGGGTTAGTTCCTGGGCGAGCAGAGAAAATTTTTAGTATCAATAACATTTTGGGTACAGGTAGGGGAATATGAATTTAGGCAAGGAAGGAATGGTCTTAGAGACAAAAGAAGAAAAGAAGGGCTGAGATTAGGGGGAAGACAGGCAGGAAAGACATCAATACGGCCAGCAGGACTTGGGCTGTGATGTGAATACTGGAACCCGCTCTGACCTTCACGTGGCAGGGACACAGGCGGAACACGCGGTTTCTGTGGTCGGTGCGTTTGGAAATCCTTATCACCTGCTCTTTCTGCACAGGGAAGTAGCTTATCTACTCTGTCCAATTTGATTCTGCTGTATTTCTGAACTACTGGTTTGCTTCTCAGAAAATTTAAGATACTACATGCAAACGTGGAGGTCAGAACTGAGACGTTTTCTTTGGAACTTTGTTCAGTCTGTGTAATTATTTTGAAAACCTCCTTGGTGTTTACAAACTACTGTACCTGTCTACCTATTAATTAATCTTCTCTTTTTCCGTGAGACTGGTGATTGAACTAAGGGAGCAATGAATTATAACCCCAGCTCTTTTTATTTTATTTTGAGATTGGGTCTAGCTGAGTTGCCCAGGCTGGCCTTGAACTTGCAGTCTTCCTGCCTCAGCTACCTGAGTAGCTGGGATTACAGGCACGCACTCCCATCCCCAGCTATGTTTTATTCTTAAATGATTACAGTGGTCTAGTTTTATGTTGCTTGGAGATAACCAGGAAAATGCAGTAATGCGCCTCAGTATATGTAGACTGGAAATTAAAACTCCACATAAATAAGTCTCCTCCCTCCCATCCTCTCCCTCCCTCCCTCCCTCTCTCTGTCTGTCCCACCTCCTGTTACATCTCTCCGTGCTTTTAATCCTCTAGTTTTTCAGAGTCAAAATGCCAATGTTCCTTCTTTTTCTGTTAAAACAGGCTGCTTCTTTGGGATTACTACAGTTTCCGATCCTTAATTCTTCGGTGGATGAAAACTGCCAGACTATAACGTACAAGGTTGGCTATGCATTATAAAAATACTCACTATAAGTAGAAGATTGTGCAAATATGCTTGCAGGTTAGAGAGACTCCTGTCATACCTCAAGTAGTCATCTTTTTAAAGGCTGGATTTAAAGGTATAAAACACTAAATTTTGGAATGCACAAAGCCCTGGATTTTACTCATAGCATTACAAAAAAATTTAAGTATAATTTGTTATTCATATTTTTGCTGGTTAATAATAATACTGTTTAGATTTTTAAATTGTTGTAAAAGTCATTTATGACAAACATACTGCCAGTATATGAAGTGGATAAAAACGAAAAGCTTTCCTCCTAAAGTCAGGAACAAGACAAAGATGTCCACTGTCCTGTTCAACATAGCCTTTAAAACATTAGCCAAAGCAATCAGACAAGAGAAAGAAATAAAAGGAATACATTTATATACAAAAGGACAAAGTCAAAATATCATTATTTATAAGAGCCCTCCAAAAAATTCATAAACATACTCCTAGAATTACAGTTACTAACCATTTAGCAATAAAGAAGGATAGAGAGTCATATAAAAAGCCAGGGATGTAGCTCAGTGGCACAAGTGCCTGCCTGGCAATCACAAGGTCCTCAGTTTGATTCCTGGCACTGGAAAAAAAAAAAAAAAAGAAAGTCATATAAAAATCAATCACATTCCTGTGCAATAATAATGAACTCACTGAGGAAGAAATTAGAAAAACAGAACCATTCACACCAGTACCAAGAAAAATTAAATTCCTAGGAATTTACCTAACCAAGGAAGTGGAAGCTCTGTGCAACAGTATTATATCACTCTGAAAAAGAGATCAAAGGAGACATTAGAAAATAGAAAGATCTCCTCTGTTGCTGGATAGCAGAACCAATATAGTCAAAATGGCCATCCTTCCCATAGTGATATACAGATTTAACCCAATACCAATCAAAATACCAATAGCATTGCTCACAGATCTATGGAAAACGGTCCTAAAGTTTATGTGGAACCAGGAGAGACCCTGAATAGGAAAAGCAATCTGTTACAAAAAGCAGAAGGCATCACAAGCTCAGATTTGAAGTTAGGTTACAAAGCTAGGGTACTTACAAACAGCATGCTCCCGGCACAAAAAGAGACATGTGGATCAGTGGAACAGAAGACAGGAAGCAGGAGCAACCCCAGGCACTTTCAGCTCCTGGAGCTTTGACAGAGGGACCGAAAACTTACACTGGAGGAAAGGCAGCCTCCCTAATAAATGGTGCTGCGAATATTGGATGTCCACGTGCAAAGACTGAAGCTAGACCCATATCCCTCACCATGTACTAGGCTAAAATCAAAGCAGATCAACAATCTAAATATTAAAAGACAGAGATTTGATTTGCTGAAAGATGAAATAGGCAAAAATCTTGAAGGTGTAGGCATAGGCAAGGACTTCCTGAGCAGAATCCTAGATGCACAAGAAATAAAATACCGAGAACCAACAAATGGGATCACAGCAAATTAAAAGGCTTCTGCACAGCAAAAGAAACAACCAACAGAGTGAAGAGACAACCTATAGAAGGTGAAAAAAATGTGGCCAGCTATGCCTTGGACAGAGGACTAACATCTAAAATATGTAAAGAACTCAAAAGAATTAGACCCCCTCAAAATAAAAGATCAGTCAAAAACTGGGCAACTGAAAGGAACAGACACTGCTTAGAAGAAATACAGATGGCCAATAGATACCTGAAAAAGTGTTCAACACTCTGCCTATTAGAGCAGTGCAAATTAAAAGAGTACTGACATACCATCCTACTCCAGAGAGAATGGCTATCATCAAGAAATCAACTAAGAAATGCTGGAGAGGGTTCAGGGGAAAAGAAACCCTTCTCCCTGATGGTGGGAGTGTAGACTAGTACAACTACGGTGGAAATCACTATGGAAACTTTCCAAAAAACTAAAACCAGAAATTTCATTTGACCTAGCTATTCCCCTCCTAGGTATTTTTTCAAAAAAGTTAAAGTCAGAAGTGTTGATATTACAGTGATGTGTGCATATCTGTGTTTATAGCAGCGCAGTTTGTCATAGTTAAATCTTGGAGATAGCCTGTGTGCTTGTGGACAGGTGACTGGATGAGGAAAATGTGGTACTTACGCACAGCGGAGTACTACTCTGCCATAAAGAGCACTAGACGTGGGGCATTCATGGGTAAATGGATGCACCTGCAGACCTTTTCTTTTCTTTTTTTTTTGAGAAAGTCTCACTATGCAGTTCAGGCTGGTCCTGAACTCACTATGTAGCCCAGGATGGCCTCGAACTTAAAATGATCCTCCTGCCTCAGCCTTGCAAGTGCTGGGATTACAGGCGAGTGCCACCACGCCTGGCCATAAGACCATATTAAATGAAATAAATCTAACACGCAAGCTTAAATACCACATAGTTTCTCTTGTATGAGGAACTCAAAATAGACATAAAATGCAAAATAAAAGGTAGGTAATAGGAAGTAGGCAGATCTTGTTCAAATGGGAAGGAGAAGGGAGGGAGTGGGGAGGGGAGGGGATGAAAAAGAAAACTGAAGAATAAAAGACAGAAATAGAGCTTTTGCAAATAGGAAGGGAACCAAGAGTTGGAAGGAGCAGGGAAGGGTGGGAGGGGTAGGGGAAAACACGAAGATGTGTTACTGTCATGTACCAGCTGCTCGTGAGAAGTGCAGTCATTGCGTACCGCAAACATGCACTCGTACCAAAAAACTTGTAATTTAAGCCCTTTTGTTTTTCTGCTTAAAATAATGGAAATATACAGAAATAAGGTAATGGATTATGTAACCCTCCTCTAATTTCCCCAAGCAGCTCTCTCAAAATTGAATTCCTAGAGTTTTAAGAATGAGAATAACTTAAACAAGAAAAGTAGTAAAAATTTGAATTCAGTTGGAGTGAACTCTTCTGTTGAGAGTGAAAGCTTCTTAAGACCGAGACCTTTCTAGGATGTTGATCTTTACGTACATTTCTCATTAGAAATCTGCACTTAGAGTGAGCTTAGATACCGTGGGAAGTCAGTCCTAAAATATTCCCTTGTGATCAGTAGAGCCAGCTGTCTTTGGTTTTGTTTTAATACTTCCTGATTAAATACTGCTTGTTACAAAAGATTCAGACAAGAAAATAATGATGCTTAATGTATGGGTTTTTTTGTTTGTTTGTTTGTTTGTTTTTCTTCTGATATCAGGAATCGAACTCATGACCTTGTGCTTGCCAGGCAGGTGCTTTGCTGCTGAGCTAAATCCCCAGCCCAGTGATGCTTAAAAGACAATAAATGCACAAAAGATGTAAATAGGAAAAGAAAATAGATATTTATATTTTCCATTATGCTATTTTAAAATTACTGTGCCTAGAATTTTATGCTGTAGGACATACTATATATACCTTTTAAATAAAGAAAATTTTCTATATTAAAAAAATACTTACCTTCAGCCCAGGGCCCTAATGTAATTCACTGTTCTGAGATGTGTATTCTCCCATGTAGACTTGAAATTATCTCTGGATAAATAAGATATCATTCTCTCTTTCTCTCTCTCTCTCTCTCTCTCTCTCTGCTTTGAATCTTCTATCCTTCCTGAATTAAAAATGCAAATACTGAAGGTCCTACAGTGTTTCATCTTAGATACTTTTTTGAGAAATATGAAATTTTAACATATTTTTCCCTAACTTTTGTTCTTTTTCATTTAATACATTATGGATATTATTATGTGTCAATAAGTATAACCTGGTGACCTATTAATAAAACTTTTGATGGTTTATGGTTTCTCAAACTTAGAAACAATCTGTACTGACACCCCTGTGTGTTCTTCTGTCTCCTTAGCACAAAGTTTTATGTGTCGGTATTTATTGTCAAACATTTTTCAGAGAGTCTGTAACTGCTTAATGCTCCTGCTAACCATAACCTATATTCCTACCAACAAAAAATTGTTTTTGTCAAAAAAAAAGCCCCTAAAACTCATTTTAAAATTGTATCTCTTGACTCACTGCCAATCTGATGGAAATAGTTTCTCATAGTTGTTCTGTTTCCTAGGCTTCTCATAACATTGGAATAGCAATGGATACTAAGCAGGGGTTGATTGTCCCTAACGTGAAGAACGTTCAGATCTGCTCTGTATTTGAGGTTGCCACTGAATTGAACCGCCTCCAGAATCTGGGCTCTTTGGGTCAGCTCAGCACCACTGACCTCGCCGGAGGGACGTTTACTCTTTCCAACATTGGATCGGTGAGTGAGGTGGTTCAAACTCGTAAGCCATAGCGTAACTTTCCGATCATACACGCCATTGAAAATGTAAGATGTCGTTTACCATTTGTTCTCTCCAAAAGCTTATTTTTCTACTCTTTTCTTCCCTTTTGCTTTAGATTGGTGGTACTTATGCCAAAGCAGTGATATTGCCACCTGAAGTAGCAATTGGGGCCCTTGGATCAATCAGGGTATGTGTATTAAACAACTGAAAAACATAAACTGGAGCAAGAACACACAGCAGAGTACTTGTGCCTGAAGCGTGCCCCTCGCCTTGTAGGTTGGAGTGTGTGGAGTGTGTGGCTGGGAGGTTGCTTCTTCCTAGCGGTGGTGATCGGATTGTTTCTGTGTGGACCACGCATGGAGAATTACATCAGGCCCAGTGTGAGTCTTCGTGGAAAACCACAAGTACATTCAATCTGTTTCTATCAAAATACCTTTACTGCACAATACCAAAGACTAGTAATAAACCAGTCTCAACTGTTACTCATAACAATGTGAGGGAGCTGTTCTCGAGCATTTCTCTAAATCTTACGCTCAGAGACTCACTGGGCAGGCTGGTTGCCATGCGGATTTCTTTGTCTTAGATGTGAAGTCCCCATACTTGTATTTAAACAACAACCCAGGTGGATCCAGCACAGGTGACCTGTGGTCGTGATTCAGGAGATGCTGGCTTGGAATAATGCTGCGGTGGTTTTTAACATCGAACATTAAAACCATCTGGAATTTTGAAAAAACTGGGCCCGTGCTGACTCAGTACCAACGGATCAAAATTTAGGAGGTGGGGCTTGGGTGTCCGTAGCAACTCATGGGTGAAAAGCTCATAGGCACCACTTTGCGTGACCCTTAGTAAATGTCATTGTCACAGTGTTAGCTTTGCTGTTTGCTCTTCATGTTTTAAGAAAACCCTTTCAATAGTATTTATAATGCCTCCACACTGAACGTTTCTGGGACTTGTCTTTTGTGACTTCCTTGCTTTACTGTGGCATCCAAACCTAGCCAACAGTTCATTAGCTGCTAAATTAATCCCTCTTTATGATAATGTCCACTTTACCTTTTGGCTAACAGAAGGTAGAGTAACACACACACACACACACACACACACACACACACACACACACACAGCCTGATACTTCTTTCCAAATCAGCAGTTTATCTGTGTGATAATAACTTCTTTTTTTTGTTGTTTTTTTTTCTGGTACCGGGAATCGAACTCACAACCTTGCGCTTGCCAGGCAGGCGCTGTGCTGCTGAGCTAAATCCCCAGCCCTGATAATAACTCCTTTATTATTCATTCTCTTCCCAACGACTTTTATTCTCACAGAAGTTTGGCTTTCTGCAATTTCCAGACCATCACAGCTGTTTGACAGATCTTTGTTTTTCCTTTTCCTTAGAGAGATTTATTTTCTTCTAAATACATATGTGTGTGTGTGTGTATATATATATATATGTGTGTAATTATGGTAAAAGATACATAACATTAAACTTACCATCTCGACCACTCATATGTGAGGTTCTGAGGTAGTAAGTACATTCACAGTGTTGTACAGCCGTTACCACTGTCCGTCTCCAGAAATTTTTTCATGTACAAAGCTGGCACTCTGAACACTTTGGTCAGTGCTCCCAAGTCCCACATTGTCCCAGCCCCTGGCAGCTACCGTTCTACTTCGTGTCTCTGAATTTGACCATTCTGGTGCTTCAGGTAAGTGGAAGTACTTGTCTTTTTATATCTATCTTACTTCACTTAACATATTTTGAAACTTCGTCCATGTTGTGGCCTAAGCCAGAATTCCATGTTTTTAAAGCAGAATAAAAAACAAATTTTATATATATATATATACACATACACACAGTTTTGTTTATTATCTATTCACCTGTGAATATTTGGGTTGTTTCCATTTTTATCTATTGCGAATAATGCTGCATGAATATTGGTACACATGTATCTGTTCAGCAGGTATATTTTAAAGAATCATTTTACCCAAGATATGAAACATAGTTCTAGAACATCAGTCTTTTTCATTTTGGAGACAAGGTCTCACTACGCTGCTCTGGCTGGTCTTGAACTCGTGAGCTCAAGCAGTCTTCCTGCTTCAGCCTCCTGTGTAGCTAGGAATACAGGCATGCAGCACCACACCCAGTTTAGACTATAAATCTTAGCTGTGAACAGACATTATTTAATTCATCTCTGCTGCTGTTTTATCCTTCGCTAGTTTGTTCTCACTGTAAATTTAAACTCCTTGCTAAACTGTCTAATTCGTCTGAGTTTTCTTGGTACTCAGCCCCAGTCCTCACTTCCTGGACCCTTCAGCTGCACTAGACACAGCTGTACCTCCTTGGGAAACTGTCTTCACTATGACTGCGAATGTCCTTCTAGGCTGGTTTTCTTCCCGAGTCCCTTTCGCCAGGCCCTTCGTCTCCCCCGACCCCAGGGCTCGGGTCTGACCCTTCATTACCTGATCCAGTCTGACACTTTACCTCTGCACCACTGCCTCCCCGTGTACAACTCCAGACCAAACTTCACTTTGCAACTCCAGGCACATGACCTGCCGGGAGGACTAGTGGGCCTCTCAGCTTTTAGGAAGTCCTTTCCTCACCAACCCCTTCCCACCAGCCTGCTCTTCCTGACGTCTCCCCCCGAGCGAACGGCTCAGACGCGCCCGGTGGCTTCTGCTCTCACTCAGCGTCAAAGCCAAGGTGGCTGCAGTGGCCGACACGTCCGGCCCAAGGGGTGAGAGGGACAGATGCAAAGAGTAGGACTCAGAGTGATTTTGTCGTTAAATCTACCAGGAAGTTGGGCTTCTAGTTTCCTATTTTTTAATAGTTCACTTTTTTTTTTTGGTCTTTTTGCGACAAAAAAATTCCTTGCTCTGCAGTTCAGGCTGGCCTTGAGCTCACTCTGCAGCCCAGGCTAGTCTCTAACTCACAATGATCCTCCTGCCTCAGCCTCCCGAGTGCTGGGATTACATAATAGTGCACTTTTAATGTATTTGTCTGAATATTCCGACATAGATTTGAGTTGCTTTTTTAGAAGGGTTTGCACCAAAGATAGATGAGAAGCACCGTCCTCAGTGATTCCCCTGCCCCAGCCATGTCGCTATGCTTTGGCTGTGACCCTGTCTCCAGCCTCGCCCCCTGCCCCCCAGCGCGGACACCCTGCCTGCTCTGCTGTTCCCCAACGTCCATCTCCTTCTCCCTGTTCTTGTGTGGCCTGTTTCCTTATCATCTCAGCGAGGAGCCTCGGTGTCTTAGTGGTATTACTTGTCTGTCTGTCTAAACACCGTAAGAGTACCTTGGACACAGCAGGTGCTCACTGAATGACTGTTTAATATTTTAAACCTGAGGTGAAATTTACTGAAGGTGTGGAAACTGTATAGGGGCCAGGAAATTCCTTCTGGAAAACCGAAAGCTTGAGGCATGGCCTCTCACAGGTGGAGAAATAGGAGCTAGCATTTTCCAGAGTCCTTGGGGTGCCCACTGGCTGTCTACCATCGGGAGGAGGGTCGGCTTGATCTTACACCACCGTCACTAGAGTCTGAGTTTTGAGCAAGTGAAAGATTACTCCATGTTTGTTTTCCTTATTCCTAGGCCCTTCCTCGATTTAACCAGAAAGGAGAAGTATATAAAGCGCAGATAATGAATGTGAGCTGGTCAGCTGATCACAGGATTATTGATGGAGCTACAATGTCCCGCTTCTCTAATTTGTGGAAATCCTACTTAGAAAACCCAGCTTTTATGCTACTAGATCTGAAATGAAGATTAGTAAGATATTCTTGAACTTTTAAAATTTTTTTTTGTTGTTGTTGGTCTTTTTGAGGCAGGGTCGCGCTATGCAGTTCAGGCTGGCCTTGAGCTCACTTTGTAGCCCAGGCTGGTCTCAAACTCAGGATGATCCTCCTGCCTCAGCCTCCCGAGTGCTGGGATTACGAACATGCGCCACCACACCGGCTTTAATTTCCAAGAGTATGTAAAGCCTAGCTGTGGCGCACATATTCCTACAACTTGTGTTGTAAACGATGTGTACTATGTGAGTACGGTTCTAAGACACAATATGTATCACTGCTCTGTTAGACTTTCTAGTGACAATATTGGTGGAACGATCCTCCGGGTGCTGTCACATTTCATAACTCAGAGTGTTACAGCTTTTTAAGATGGTGCTTTGGTCTGCGTGTTAATGGGTTAAACGTAGCAAGAAGCAGAGTCACTGTTACTAAAAGATAGATAGCCATGCACACACGCGTTCGTTCTCTCTCCCCCTTTCTCCCTTTCTTTTTCTTTCCTTCTTTCTCTTTCTTTCTTTTTCTTCCTTCCTTCCTTTCTTTTGTCTTTTTTTATTTTAACTAATCCTTAGTGAAACTTTTATAATTTAATGGGAAAAAGGAATTTGTTTCTGAGACAGGGTCTCCCTGTGTAGTCCAGGCTGGCCTTGAACTCACTGTGTAGCCCAAGCTGTCCTCAGACTCGCAGCAATCATCCTGCCTCAGCCTCCTGAGTTCTGGGATTACAGATATGCACCACCACACCCAGCTGGGAAAGGAATTTATATACAAAAATATTTTCTGCTTCCCTACGGTCATGGTAATTGTTATATAAAATAAGTGCAATTATACTTACCTAGTAAGATACCCAAGGAGTATACTCCTGCTCTATTTAGAGACTATGCTCTATAAATGTCTTGTTTAAATAAAATCTTGTCTTTTAAAAGGGAAAATTATTCTTAATTATAGTTTTATAACCAGTAAGGATATGAAAGGTATATGTTTGAAGTGGATAAACTTTTAGAATTTTGGTGATGCTTTGGCATTTTCTTGGGAAAAATTTCGCCTTTGCAAACTTACTTCTTGTGAGGAAAGTATTTTAAATGCAGCAGCCACTGGCTGTTTAGAAGTCAACTGTAAGTTCGCTTGCTCTTTCGCTGGAACTAGGACAAGAAAAGAGATGAGTCTGTGCTCTTCTCCAGGTTCTGAGTAGGAACATGAATAAAAAAGAGTCTAATGAGTAACTACGGACATTAAATTAAATAATGAATTTTACACAGAAACAAAGGCTTTATGTTGGTCATTTTAAAAAGGGCCAATGTAATCCGAAGCAGCATCATGGTGAACTTAATCCAGCATTTAAATTTGCATTCAGAAATCTGGGGTGTTTCTAATATTGTTCTATTTAACCAGTATGCCAAAATTAGTTGTTCAAGTAGTGGTTTGCGAATTTTAATTAAAGGTCGTTTTGCTGTCTACTTGATTATTTTCTGAAACAGGTTTTAAATCAAAGTAATAAATCAAATAAATGCTGTTTTAAAAATTCAGATTGCATGGAGAGTTACAAAGTATCCTCCATAATCCTACCACTATTAATATTTTGATGTGTGTATCTGTAAACATGTTCTTTTTATAAAAATGGAATCATAGTATAACTACTATTTTATAAATTGATTTTTAAAAATTCATCATTGTATTATGAGTAACTTTAATGTCAATAAACCATCCCGCATTGTCACATTTTTAATGACTTTGTAATATTCCTTTGTGTGTATTTGTTATATATTCAAATATTAAACATCTACAGTATACTAAGCGTGAGCCTAAGCACGGGTACACAGGTGCCTGTCGTCATGGTCCCTACCTCAGCTGGGCCTAGAGTCTCATGAAAGAGACCGATTTGAAGTAACCATAAAAATAAAACTATAATTATACTTCTGTGTAGAAAAAACCAGGGTGCTATGAGCCATCCAACAGAGGTTACTGACCCTGTGAAAATGCGAAGATATATATCCCATGATTTAATTCCCTGTTGGCAGGCATCTGTCAAATTTTACATTATTTTGTATTTTAATTTTTATTAGTACATGATGATTACATTCACCATGGGGACTTGGGACATGCATGTACCACACCTTAATTCTTCTTTTAAATCTACTTCTTCCCCGTCCATCTCGGTCCTCATCCCATTCGCAGAAGATCTGTCTCTGTTTCCTGTGATCTCTTACTTTGCTTTTGTGTTCCTACTTTCAGTTTCTCACAGAAGAGAAACCATGTGCCGTTTAACTTTCTGTGACTGATGTTTTTCACTTGGCATCCTACAGATACCTCAGCTTCATCCTTTTTCTAGCAGAGTAGTACTCCACTGTGTACAACACCACATTTTCTTTATCCATGCAGCAGTTGATGCATTTGTAGGCCACTTCTAAGATGTAGCTATTAGGAATGTTGCTGCTATACACATGGATATACACGTGTCACTGTAATATGATATCTTTAAATCTTTTGGGAAATAATGTAAAAGAGAAATAGGTGAGGTGAAAGGAATTCTATTTTAGTTTTTTGAGGAAACTCCATTCTGATTTCCATAGTGTTTGTACTAGTTCACCTTCCCACTAACGTAGAAGGGTTCTTTTTAAATCATAGCCTTGCCAGCAGTGTTATTATTTGATTTCTTAATAGGTAGCCAGTCTTTCTGGAGTAAGGTGGAATCTCAGTGTTGGTTTAATCTGCATTGCTCTAATGGTCAGAGATTTTGAACTTTTTTGATAAAATTACTCATGGGCCATTTGTACTTCTCTTGGAAAGTGTCTGTTTATTTCAGTTGCCCATTTTTCAATTGGGTCTTCTACTTGAGGGGCCTAATTTTTTTTTGAGTTCTTTAAATATTGTAACTATTAGTCTTCTGTCTGAGGAGTATAAACAAAAGTTTTTTCCACTACGTATGTGGTCTCTTTACTCTGTTTGTTGTTTCTTTTGCTGTGCAAAAACTTCTTGTTGATCCTTGATGTTATTTCATGTACAATTGCAGTTCTATACAGAAAGTCCTTGCCTATACCTTTGTCTTCAAGAGTTTTATCTATTTTTTCTTCCAACAGATTAAATGTTTCTGTTTTAATATTTAGATCTTTGATCCATTTTAATTTTAGTTTAGTACATGGTGAGAGCTGTGGATCTAGAATCCATTTGCATGTGGATAGCCAATTTTCCCAGCACTATTTGTTAAGAAGGCTGTCTTTTCTTCAGTGCTGTTTTTGCCTCCTTTGTCAAAGACCAAATTAGCACATTAAATGTGCGTGGGGTTGTTTCTGCATTGTCTATTCTGTTCCATTGATCCACACATCTTTTATGTCAGCACCATGCTGTTTTTATCACTGTAGCTTTGTAATACAGCTTAAAGTCTGGGACTGTGATATCTCCTGCTTTGCTCTTATTGCCCAGGATTGCTTTTGCTGTTCTGGGTCTCTTTTGGTTCCCTGTGAGTTTTATGATTGTTTTCTCTAGTTGTGTGATGAATACTTGTTCCTATTTTGATTGGGGCTGCATTAGTTCTGTGTGTCAGTTTTGGAAGTATGGCCACTTGAACAGTATTGGTTTTGTCTGTCCAGAAACAGGGGCAGCTTTCCATTTTCTGGTGTGCTCTTCTGTCTTTTTCAGAGTACTGACATTTTTATTTTGGAGGCCTTTCACCTCCTTGTTTAGGGAAATCCCTAGAGATTTAGTTTTTCCTGATGCTGTTCCAAAAGGTATTATTTTCCTAACTTCTTTCTCAGTGAGTTTGTTACTGATGTACAGGAATACTATTCATTTCTTCTGTGTTGATTTTTCTATCCTGCTACATTACTGAATTTGGTTATTCTAGGAGACTTTTGATGAATTTTGAGGGGCAGATTCTTCTACAGGGAAGATCATGTCATCTGCAAATAATGGTAACTTGACTTTTCTGCCTATATGTACCCTTTTATTTCTTTCTCTTACCTGGTTGCTCTGACTAATGTTTTAAGTACTAAATTGAACAGGAGTGATAGAAGTGGGCATTCTGGTTTTGTTCTTGATTTTAGAGGGAAAGAGGTCCACATTTTGCCACTTAATATGATGTGAGCACTAGGTTTGTCATAAATGTCTCTTTAGAGCAGATTGTGATAAGGTCCTTCTATCCCTGTTTTCTTCGGTTTTTTGTTATCATGAATGGATGTTGGGTTTTTTCAAAGGCTTTTTCTCCATCTATTGAGATGATTATATGACTTTTGTCCTTTTATGTGGCATATTGCATTTATTGATTTGAATATGTTGAACTATCCTTGCATCTCTAGGATGAGGCCTACTTGGTTATGATTGATCATTTTTGATTATTTGTTGCCAGTGATGATTATTCTGCCAGTGTCTTGTTCAAGACTTTTGTGTCTGTATTCATGAAAGAGATTGGCCTGTAATATTCTTTTTTAGTTGGGTCCTTGTCTAGTTTTGGAATCAGGGTAATGCTAGCTACAGGGATTACTTTGGGAGTATTCCTTCTCTTTCAATTTCATTAATAAGTTTGAAGAATATTGACATTAGATCTTTGCAGTTCTTATAGAATTCAGTGGTGAATTCATCAGGTTCTGCATTTTCCTTGGTAGGTTTTTTATCATTACTTCCATTTTATTGCCTTTTATTGGATTATTCAGG